TGGAGCTATTAATTGACCTGCTCAGGAGAGAAGCAGTGGTTTGACCTCAATACAAGCCATAGCCAACAAACATGACAATTCATAAAAGCATAAGTTATGCACAAAAACTTTCCAAGGGGTCCCATGCCAAGCAGGCCTCAGCTCCTGCCACTATAGCAAAAGCCAAGAACCACTCAGATATTCAGTGGCCCTTTTCTTGTGGTGCAGAATATTAAGTATCACACAGAAAAGCATGTTATTAGCTAGCAGTAACCCAGGACCACCTGCCCAGGAGTCAGAAAGGAAAGTCATGAGTAATTTTCCTATTCCAGACACTGGGAACATCAGGCTTGTAGGAAGCAGTGTAAGTGAACCTAGGTCCTCATAAGCAAAAACATGCTTTTCTGCCCTCACTTTAGCTGCTATCCTGGGCTTTCCTCGCTCTACTCTGATAGCATTGCACCTGCAGGCTCCGTGCTGCTGGAAGAGGTCACCTTGCACCTGCTCTGCTGCAGATGCAGAAGATTGCCAGAGCAATTGCAGCTCAAAACACTATTATTTGTGATCTTACTATTTAAATAGACTCCTTAGGATAGAAAGAAAAGGGACAGCACCAGGAAACGGTGCTAGTCCTGCTCCTTGTGCTCCTGTCAGGAGGTCCGTAGCTTCCACAGGGATTTCTGCACCATCTGCGTGCAAAACAAACGGTTAATCCGTAGATCACTCCTAGCTGCATGCTAGCAACCCAAATTAAATATGACACTACATTTGTCATGTAAGGTTTGGTCTTCTGTAAATTATATATTTATTAAAAGCTTTCCATTATTGAATTTCATGCCCACAAAACAAACTTCATCCGTGTCATTGGGAAACTGTTATCCTTCATAACCTGCACTGCGCTTCAGAAAACAACCTTTCTATGATCCAATTAACCTATTACAATATTCAAAGACCCAGTGCACTGCAGACAAAATTATGTTTGCTTTCTCTATTTCCTAACTTTACGCCATATCTCCAACCCCTATGTTCCCTTTGATAAATCTCCTCTTTAATAAAGGGAAGCAGCATTTGCAAAGCACAACTTCAGAGACAACGGTGATTGTGTTAGGCAGACACAGCTGTCCTTTTCCTCTCTGCCTGCAACAGGAGCCTGATCTGCACCAGGAGAATTGAAAAAATCATTAAAAAACATCCAATTCTAAAGACAGTTTGGCCATTTTAAATAATGCTTATCATCCCAAGTCACTGCAAATTTGCTCAGCACCAGCCTCGCAGCTCGGCAAAGACCTGCTCCAGCCGAGCCTGGAAAAGAGGAGCCTGCACCGACCTTGGCTCGGCATCTTGCAGTGTATTTACTACTGCAGCTTTCACTGAGCAAGAAAAGGCGTCTGTGTTCAATAAACAAGGGGCTATAGTGCCATAAACCATTAAACAGAGAAAGGAATTTTGCAGTCTTCAGTCCGATCCCAAATGGATCTCCCCAAGTATTCTCTTACTAGTACTTAGAGTGAGAAATGACAACTCTTCCTACTCCATAATGTGATAAATAGTGAATAAAAAAGTTCAAAATTCTGTTTATGTTCTCACATTTAACTCACAAAGAAACTCAGAATTCACTTTTTGACTTATACTGACATACTTGCTATTTATACTTGTTATTGCTGGAAGAGAGTGCTTAATCACTAGTGCTGCATCTTGTTATTGCTGGAAGAGAGTGCTTACTTGTGATTACAAGTGCTGCGTTGGAAGAGACCATCTTAACATCCTTTCCTACACGTATTCATTTTGGACTGGAAAACAAGACTAGAAAATACATTTAGCAATGAATGTTTTCCTAAAGTTAGTTAATGAAAATGCCTCAGTCATGACAGGTCCTATAGAATAAAAAATTTAAATGTATGTATCAATGTTTAAAATGAACAGAGCAGTAAAGCCTAGCATGGTCTGAGCATTGTGATAGAAATAAATAAGTTTAGAATATATATAAAAAGGAAAGCTTTGCACAAAGGAAAAATAGGGAGCCTGGCTGTCAAGTCGGATAAAATTTATGTAAATATCAGATTTTCCTCTCAACCTTTAAGTTAAAGAAGATACACAGACTTGGCAACTTCTGCAAGATAGATGGCTAGTTAAATAATAATAAGTAATAACAACCACCACCACCTGCCTTGATGCCCTTCTTTCTGGCCCTGTGGGACCTCAAATTTCTGCTGGATATGTGGAGAGGGTCAGAGTCCACCCTGCTACTTTGCAAAGCCAAATACCTCTGGGTAGGCAGCCCGGCAGCTCCCTGCTCTAAGCACAGAGCTGAGAGAAATTCCCCACCCCCAGTTAAGTTTGAGGTTTGCAATTTTAAAGCCTTCACTGTGCAGTTGTGCAGCAGGTTGTTGTTTTACTACTTGCTTGCAGCAACACTCAAAGTCCTTTCTTAAACTCCTGAGCAGTACCAGATACCAGGACACAAGTACTAAAGCCAGGACCTAGAAAACTAAAACACTGAACTGCATTTTGGGAATTACCTCCTCCTGTGAGCAGAATAGCTCTACATGGCACAACAACATCAAGGATATGTACACTGATATTATCTTTGTACTTTACATTGCAAATAATCATATAACAATGCTACAGTTCTATACTTGTGCTTTGCTCCAGTCAAAATTCCCACTATTTTAGCTGCTTGGAAGCAGCATGAAGACTCTGGACATTTGCACACGTTCCCTTCATTTGCTTTAGGAGTTAAATAACACTATAAATTAGCTTGTCATTAAGCACTCCTTAACATCTCCCTTTCCTCTTGCTCCGAGCCCACTTACTCCTCCTGAAGGAGGAAAGCCAGGACTTGCTCCTTGTGCACTTGTCTATAAACTGGAGGAGAAATTACACGAGACGATCTCTAATGCACACCAGGTCAACCCAGCCATAATATTTTTCCCAGTGCCGACGCAAATGAACCCACGATAACTCAGTTCAGATCGTCCGTATTGTCAGCTACCTTCAGCAGCTGAATTGATATACTGGCTAAATCCAACTAAAATCTGGTAGCCTAGCCTTGACAAGAGCCGTAAGGATCGAGGAGAAAATACAGGCTGCAGGAGAGCATGCCAACATAGTTTCTCTTCCCCTTTCCAATAGCAACTGATCCGAAGAAAATCACAGCAAAAGACTATTTTGGCAGCTGGAGCAAAAGGCAAGGGAGGGATTTGCATTTGGACACAGGCAGCTGCTTTGGGGGCTGCCGAACTTGCCTGGAGGAGCTTCCAGAGCTCCGCACAACCTCTGCGATAAGCGGCCGCGCTCGCTATCCGCATCCCCCTGCGCCGCCGGCTCCGTACGGAGCACGCGGGGTAATGGGGACATACAAATAGCAGGTCCTGCCCCAATTATCTGCTCCATTGGCATGAGCTCCCAGATACAAGACTGGATTTAGTGACAGGGA